TTCGGATAACGATATGGGTTGGATTCTGTCGTATGAACGCCTGCACAGTAATCTTTTGCACATTGCGAAGAATAGCCACCCAGACCACCCTGCCGGGTAGCGTACGTACCTGCTACAACTGCAGCGATCCTATGTTTTTTATGAACCCTGTTGTATGTGGTACCTGTGCTCACGTGACATATAGCTGTATGCGTTGACTGAATACACCCCGCCGCGTGCTGCTGATGCATGCTACATCAACTGTCTTGGATTCGGGGGGAACCGGTAGCACAGGTTCATGATGCCTACCCGTAGCACAGTGAGGGGGTTCATGATGCCTACTGGTAGCACAGTGCGGAGACCGCCCCTGCTAATGCTACAACACTTCCAGAGACTTGTTGAATACCCCCGCAGTCCAAAATTCGGGCGGACCGGTAGCTCAGGTTCATGATGCCTACCGGTAGCACAGTGGGGAGGACCGCCTCTCCTGTGTACATGCTGCTCATGCATGCAACATCAACCGTCCTCGAAAACAGGAGGAACAACTTTCTGAGGAGGCACAACACTACCAGAGACGTGTTAAACACCCCCATCTGGTCAGACTGCATTTCCCGTTCTTGAATAACATATAAGACAACCGGCCAAGTTCTCACCCAAACTGACTGAATACCAACGACTTCGCTCAACAAACCACTCAACAACCTATCACACTTAAGCTCATCTCCAAACACCGCTAGGCTTCCTCCCCACACAAGGTTACCCCGCAATCCCCAACATCCTCTCGTTCTCATGGCGTGGTCTTAAGCCAGCAGAACAGCCGCACCTGGAGCTGGAGGTGCCGAACCACCAGTGGCGCACTTCTTTTCTCTTTTTTGGCTCCCGCCACCAGCCCTTCTGCCCGGTAGCCAATGAACGAATTTCCACAAGGCCGGGGCCGTGTGCTGCTGGTTGAAACCACTACAACGTAGCCCAGGCAAATACGTATTCTCGAAATCCACACAACTGCATACTTCGTTGGCCGGCGCCAGCCAAACAAAATAAAAACATGCGCATGACAGACTGACAGTTCATTTTTTTATCAGCGCGAGAGGGAAATCCACATCCACAAACAGAGGCTCAGAGGTAGTGGCGAATTAACAACATCAAGCATTGTGTTGGGAGAAGAGAGTTTCGATTCCACAGCACCTGCAGCGTAGATTCAATACCAAAGAGGGCATCATTAAAACCTGTACAGGTGGTTTTTTAACCCCGATGTCATCCCCAAATCCCGCAGCAACCCAAGTCTACTCGCATCCAAATATCAAAAACACCCAAATCCCACAGGGCAGCTTCCCAACGACTGTTAGGGGAAAAGGACAAAAAAAAAACACAGTTACGACACATACATCAGACAAGTCCAACCACAAGCTCGACCAATAAATTTCTCAAGCATGAGCAACGACTAAAGCCCAAACAAAGAAAAACTATTTGGCAGAGCGCGAGCAATGCGTAACAAGGGTACCTGTTGCGGCTTCGCTCGCAAGGAAATGAGGGGAAAACGGGAGAAATGAGTCGGGGTGGGGGGATCGGGGG